GTACTTGATGTTATCCCTAAATCAGTGGGATGTTCTAAATATTCTTAACTGATGAAGGTTCCCAAAAGAATGAAAAAAAGATTTTTGAAAAGATGTAAAATAATTATCAACATTTAAGCACCTCCCAAAAGATGCTTATCATATATACACACTATATACACACATGAGCAGATTTTCATGTCTAAAAACTATCTACATCATCTAAAACTCAACTTATTATGAAGTTTGCAACAATTTAGGAGAAGTGTGGATGGCAGACATAGTTCAAACATAACTGACAACCATCCACATCCATCACACCTCTTTCCCTTTAAAGCAGGACAACCTTCCTACAGATCAGTCACTCATCATCCACGGAAATGAGCTGCCCCAATATGGTGTGTTTGCTACAACGACTGGACCCTCTTCTTCCACTTTCTCTTTGCCCCACCCTATTTCATTCTTTTTAAAAAATATTTATGTGGCTGCACTGAATCTCACTTGCAGCACGTGGGATCTAGTTTCCTGACCAGGGATAAAACCTAGGTCTTTTGCACTGGGAGCATGGGGTCTTGGCCACGGGACCACCAGGGAAGGCCTCCCTCTTTCATTTTTCCAACTGCTTCTCTTCTGATCTTTTCTCAGTCTAACTTTGAGCTCTTGTTTACATGATATCCTCCTATTCCAGTTTTAGGACACGTGCTGGTTTTCAAAGCATTTCCTAACTGAATGTCCCGGCCCAGGTCAGGGCACCCAGTGGACTGCAGACTCTCCCACAGTCACTGGTGGCTCCTGAACTGACCACACCCATTCTTCTCCCCTCAGTTCCACCTCCTTGCTGTCAGGGAACAAGCAGTCTGCCTTAAACCCAAGTTCACTGGATCAGTAGGAAAAGTTAGGGACAGTGTTTCTGTCTGCTGATTTACAGAAGTGAATTCTCAACTTTATACCTATGAGATCTGGCATCATCATGAACAAAGCTGAATTTCTTGGCTTCATTAAATGAAAACTGTACAAAGCACTGTAATAAGGAATGAGAAAGGCATGATTTATGACCCTCCACATACAGGAGATTTAATTCTGCCTTTTGCTCAATGGCCTATCCATTGTGCGGGCAAAGTCAATACCAATAATGAAATGTAGACTGAAGGGCTAAATCAATTCAATAAAATGCAATAGAAAGACCAGAGGACTGAGTAAATTTGGAAAGGCTGGTGCCTGCAAGATTAGTATTTGGACAACAGGTAATTACAAAAATCAATGCCTGTATATGAAAACATGTCAGGCAGCCATCCGTCATGAAGGGAGAACCACTACTAATGGTTTAGACTTGAATTAGGATGAGAGAACAAATTAGATGTGTACACAGTCCTGAGATGTGTACACACCTGAGAGTGTGTGTGTGTGTGTGCTCATGAGCACACACTTCTACTCCCTGGGTGACTGAAGGAGAGATGAAGGGAAACTCCATGTGGCTCACTCTGCATTTTACTTAGGCCTCCTGCATTTGCCCAGCATCTCTGGCTCATTTTTACTAACTCTGATCTCATTTTGTCAGGCTGTATGCTACATCACCCTTTCCTTCCTTGTCCTCACAGTCTCCCAGTTACCCCAGGCACCATTATCACGAGGTCCTGGCCATGTCTGCAGTCTTTAGGAGGTGGAGCAGAGGAATAAATTCCACCTGAACCACAGCTCTAAGAACCAGGTGTCAGGAGACTCTCTGGGCAGTAAGAACCTCAAGGGCACCTACAGCAAAATTAAAAACTGATCACAGGTACATACAACCTACAGATACATGTGCGTGCATGCTTAGTCGTGTCCTACTCTTTGCGACTATGGACTGTAGCCCTCCAGGCTCCTTTGTCCACGGACTCTTCCAGGCAAGAATACTAGGGTGGTTTGCATGCCCTCCTCCAGGGGATTTTCCCAACCCAGGGATTAAACCCCATCTCTTGTGTCTCCTGCATGGCAGACAGATTCTTCACCATCGCACCATCTGAGAAGCTCAGATATATATACATATGTAAGATAAAACAGTATCTTAAGTGTCTAACTGTGCTCCTGGCCAAAGATGTATATGAATGAATGAATACATCACCACTTAGCAGTCTGCTTCCATTAAATCGTTTAGTCCCTATAAGGACTCTACAGGGGAGGGATCAGCATCTCTGTTTTAAAGATAAGAAAGGAGGCTTGACTGGACAGTTCTGTTCAAGGAGACACAGCTGGTGAGCAGGGAAGCGATGTTGGACGATGTATCTTTCTGACACTGGTGACTCTGCTGGGCACCCCCTCCTCACACCACTGTTTTGTCTCCCACAGAACCCAGGGATGCTTCTGATGTGATCACACACAAGTCCATGTTGGGCACCACTGCTATGGAGATGTTTCAAGGCTGGTCATGGCTCACATAGACAGAGGTAATGACTTTGAACTTGCCCAGGTAATGGCGTCTGCATGGACCACATGATGGCCTTGTTTGATGTTTGGCCTCTGCCATCTCTGTCCCTTCTGCTCGCATCTGAGCAAGCTGATGACAAAGCTCTGATGCCTCCTCCTTCGGTACCAGCAGGAAGTTCAAACCATAGACATCCTGTCCCCAGGTAAGAACCCCATCCCAGGGCAGGCCATATCTACCACCTAATCCCCTAGCCATCCTTTCCTGAGCTCTCCAGTCAAGCTTAGTCCCGTGTGGAAGCCGCTATGCTCAGCTACATAAGCCTCATTATGTGAGTAACTGGCCTTTTCATACCCTCATGGGGTGTGTGCACTGTCCTCAGTCTTGACATCAGAACCAAATTTGGGGACGAGTCCGTCCTGCTGCTGTGGTTGCCACAATATCTGTGAGTCCACTTTACGCCCATCAAGGGATGAGATTCTTTCATGGCCTCTAGAGAAACCCTCACAGTTATAATCTTTGCAAAATGATGGCATGTGATCACTCAATTGGAAATCTATCCATTTTAAATGGTTATTTTGTTTTCTACTAAAGGCAGAGAATGACTAGGAGAACTGCCACTTGGGACAGGAGCCACATAATTTAATTTATCCTTAGATCATTTTAATAGTATTTTTTGACATTTAAAATCTATCTTAGATGAACAATAATTTCTTTTATCTCAGCTTTGGCACTGCCGATATTTGGTACTGGATAATTCTTTGTGCAGGCTGCCCTTCCATTACAGAATGTTTTGCAGCATCCTTTGTAACTGAACAGAACCATATGGTGCCTGTTGGGGACAGATCCTCCATTTTTTTCCACCTGCTTTTTTGTAGAGAAACTTTAGCCAAAGAATAAATTTAATCAGAGAAGTGAGAAAATGCAGAAAGGAAAACAGTCAAGTGAGACAAAATAATAATAGTTTAGCCATTTGACATAGTCAAGGACCTTTAGTTCCTCCTTAAGAGCTATACATAATATTCTGAGTCACATCCTCTGAGCTGTTTTGCATATACTAAAACCCCAGGCAGGTGGAAGGAGTTGACTATATGACGACCAGACTGTAGCCATGACACAAGTTGCTCCATCTTACACAAGTCCAAGAACTGACCTCAAGGAAACAGGAACAAACCGACCCTGGAACTGAAGATGACTGTACTTAAAATAATCAAGATGATGCTGATCAGATCACTGCATGACCGATGTCACGATGACTGTCAGAGCGGACCGTGCTGTTTCTGCACGTAACCCCCTCTCCCCAACCTGTGACCCTGGAAATCCCCCTTTAAAGCTCTTGCTTCCTGATCAGCAGTTGGGAGTTGGTTTTTGGACATGAGTCCACCTTCTCCCAGGTTGCCAGTCTCCTGAATAAAGCAACCTTTTCTTTCCTGCCAACACTTGTCTCTCGAGTACTGACTTTTCAGAGGTGAGCAGCCCAGCCTGAGTTGAGTAACACCTGACTGCCACCCACTAAATGCTAACGGCACATCACAAATTTTTTTCATTTCTGACAACCAAAGATGGTTCCAGATGTTGTGACGTGTCCCTTAGGAAGCAAAATTACACCTGGTTGAGAATCACTGCCTTATATTCATTCCACAAAGAAATAGGACTTTTCTGATATGAAAAAGCATGGGTCAAGCCCTTTGCAGTCCCGGAAGAGAAACAGGAAAAGAAAAGATGAAAAGCTGCTAGTCTATACACATCCCAGGGCAAGCAAGCACAATCTATAATAAATTACAATTATGTCTTCAGACCTCTGCTTCCCACCCTTAAACTGATTTAGACTCATCTTCCAAATTCCTTACATGCTACGGAGATGACTCTGAACAGTTTAAAAAAATCTTTTTTAAAAAATTTGATTACTCAGCTGCTCATATGCAAATATTTGTCCCTTGTCTAAAAAAAAAATCAGAGTTGGCTGTGCTGACCACTGTGATTTTCCAGAAATATCACATACCACAATTTGTGCACTTTGAAGTATTGCAAAAATTTCGAGCATGTTAACAATTGTTTACATGATGAACACAGAGAACAGATTCTTTAATGGAACACATATATCTGTATTATATCTACCAGTACATTTGTAAATGGTTCAGAAAGTTTGGTTATAACACAAAGCTAGTTTATTGCCTAAAATTTCCCTCTTATCAAGGAATTTTCCAGGAAGACAGATGATACCATAAACTGATGTTAGCAATCTTGATGTAATTTGAGACCATGAAGATGCTTTGTACTTCTTTAGAATTTAGGAGCAGAGATGACTCCAGAGACGGGTTTGGGAAGAAAAATGCAAATTACATCAAAAGTATAGCATTTGATACTCTCACCTCTGTGGATATTAGTGTATACCCTTGGTCCTCTATTCCTTCAGTATTCAAATATTAAAAAAGAAGAATGTATATATAGGCATGCCAAACACTTAGATGCAAAGTGCTATGTTTCAGCCATAAGTGTGGATCTAAGTTTTGATAGCATAACTTAAGTTTTGAATTTTTTTCCCCATTCAACAGTACTCTGAACACCTAAGTGATGATGAATCCAACACCAGTCATTCATGATTCCAAGTAGTGCTTACCTCGGCTTTAATTTTGTTGTCTCCAAAACAGAGGTGCTGTAAATAGGCTGCAGCATTAGACTGGACTGAAGGAAACTGATGTTGCAACATCTGTATCACTTCAGGTAGCTCCGGGTCTCTCCATCCAAATTCTCTGAAAAAAAGGAAAGCAGGAGAACATGAGAGAAATCCTGCAACTGGTAGCCTGTGGTCAACTCATTTGTGTAACACCTATGAGAGTTTACATGCGAATATTTCACAACTGATTGCCCTGGTTTTCTTACACATGTTGTTGCTGAGTTGCTAAGTTGTGTCCAACTATTTGGAATCCCCCTCCCCCAGGACTGCAGCACGCCAGGCTCTTCTCTCCTCCACTGTCTCCCAGAGTTTGCTCACATTCATGTCCACAGAGTCAGTGATACTACCTAACCATCTCATCCTCTTATATTTCTTACACATGCACTGACTTCAAAAAGGATTTGAAAAGATTTCCCTGAGCAAATGGTTTGTAAGTGTATATATACATATATATATACATACACATCTGGGGCTTCCTAGGTGGTACAATGGTAAAGAATCTGCCCATCAGTGCAGGAGATGAAAGAGACATAGGTTCGAGCCCTGGGTCAGGAAGATCCCCTGGAGTAGGAAATGGCAAACTACTCAAATATCCTTGCCTGGAAAATTCCATGGACAGAGGAGCCTAGCATGCTTCAGTCCGTGGGGTTGTTAAAGAGTCTGGCACAAACAACTAAGCATGCATGCACATATACTTATATAATCTTAAATGTATCACTGACGTTACCATGTTTATGAAGACTTAAAAAGAAAGAACTTAAAATGGCACGATCTTATTAATATGGACATTTTTCATTTGAACTTCAGTAGATAATTTACAAGATCACATTTATTTCCCCAAATATTATTTCAACAGTCTTGTGCAGGTATAGCATTTAGTTAAATCATCAGATAAGAGAAAATATAACTGCATGAGTCCAATCTAAAATGTCATGATACCAGTTATGCCATATTTGTTATATTTATGGTTAATATAGCTACTATCATAAGCTCTTCTTTTAAAAACATACAGATTCCCTAAACAATTTTCTGAGGATAAAAGTATAGTAACAAGAAGCTTTCATAAAAGGAAATTATTTATTTAAAATGTTCAGTTCTGTTCAGTTCAGTCGCTCAGCCGTGTCCGACTCTTTGCAACCCCATGAATCGCAGCATGCCAGGCCTCCCTGTCCATCACCAACTCCTGGAGTTTACTCAAACTCATGTCCATCGAGTCAGTGATGCCATCCAGCCATCTCATCCTCTGTCGTCCCCTTCTCCTCCTGCCCCCAATCCCTCCCAGCATCAGGGACTTTTCCAAAGAGTCCAACTCTTCGCATGAGGTGGCCAAAGTATTGGGGTTTCAGCTTCAGCATTTAAAATGTTAGGTTTATTAAACAAATTTTATGCATGGTACATTCTTTTTCTATATCTCTTGTTTACATCTGAGCTACTCCAAGAAGCTAGTTGTTTATTTAATTTTAAGAAACATGCCCCAGATACTTAAATCCACTATAAAACAGAAGGGTGACTGTACCATTATGCATATGAATACTCTTTCATGAAATTTATCAACTCAGCCAGTTAGAGCAGTGATCCCCAACATTTCTGGCACCAGGGATTGGTTTCATGAAAGACAATTTTTCCATGGATCGGGGTGGGGGTGGGTGGATTCAGATGATTCAAGCACATTACATTTATTGTGCACTTTATTTGTATTATTACATCAGTTTCAACTCAGATCATCAGACATTAGATCCTGGAGGTTGGGGACCCTTGAGTTAGAACATGACACCGACATGGTTGGATGTAAGGATTCCATTTCTGAAGCAGTGAATCAATTTTTAACAGAGAAATAAAAAAGCAACCCATAAGGCCACAGATGAAAACCTGACCCCTTGAACCACAAAAGGCTACTGTTTATCTGAAGGATAGGCTGGAAGAGACTTGAGACATCTGGCAGTACCCACCTGACTCCCAGAAAACAACTCAAAAGCATACATCCTATAGATGCCAGGTCAGTGCTGTCATTTCAGAAGAGGAGTCATGAAAAATGGGACAGAAATGGAGCAGACAAAGGTTAAAAGTTTCCTTGTAGATTCTAACCTGTTCTCTTTATCTTTTCTTTATCACGTCTGGTGGAGGTTGTCAAGTAAATCTTGAAGCATGTTGGTGCTTCCTTACTGCTATCGAAGACAATATGGAATAGGATTCCTTTCGAATTGGCTCAGTTCTTATAGGACTGGTTGGTGTGAGATCGCGAAAGAACTGAGCCAACTGGAAAGATAAGGCATTCAACTTAATGTGCATTAAGTATCTAAAAATTTACATGAAGTCTTAGGCAGACACACATTTTCAAAAGGGTGTACAGGACAGAAGCACCTTTGCAACAAAACATACTCAAATGGTTGCTGATGATGGACCAGCTATTGGATCTTCTTAGGCTAGGCGATCACAGTAAAAAAACAATTATGGATGAAAACACAGGAAGCTTGTTTTTCTTTTTAATTGAATTTTCTTTCATTGCATGATTCTAAACCACCTCAACGTGCAACATCCAGATAGCACAGTCTTTTTTCTTATAATAGCAGCCTTTTAAAATTATATCCTTTGTTCAAGTTAAATCAAAATCTACAGAACACCTATAAATTAAAATTAGAAATGTCATGTGAATACACTGTATGACTAATAAGAATTCAGGTAAGCCCATGCTATTGGAAAATGATTAGTAAATGATTCATTTCAGTCTATTTTACTAACCAGATGAGAATTGCTCTATTAGGCTTCTATGGCATAGATGAGAAAGTCTTTGAACAAGAGCTCAGAAGGAACAGTCTTAGGGCACTTGGCTTGCTTGTGTCAATGCATACACACACAGATGCATACCAGACTACATACATACACACGGAGCCCAGAATCAACAGAAGAAGGAAAATTTCAAGAGTTATACAAGCCTCTTTTTCTGGAATGGTTTTGTTTCACTTAAAAGAGATTCTACTCAGATTTTGTGTTTCCCATGGAGATGTACTCTAGAGAAGAGCTGGACAAAATAAAATGTCTGTCTTATTTGGGACCAGAATTTAGTACAAGGCATGGATTCTTTATACGAGGTCTTTTTTTTTTTTCAACTGAAGTATAGTTTATTTACAGTGTTTGTTATTTTCAAGTGTACAGCAAAGTGATATATAATATATATATTCTTTTTCAGATTCTTTTCACTTATAGGTTATTACAAAATACTGAATATAGTTCCCTGTGCTATACTTGCTCCTTGCTGGTTGTCCCTCATGTAAGATTTTAATCCTTACGGACAAGCAATGCTCATAAGACAAAAGAGTTCTGGTAAAAACAAAATCAGCAAAAGAACAGCAGGAGGAAAGACAGAGGGTCATAGAAAGCTGACAGATTCAGGGAAGGTGTGCATTCAGTCAGGATGGCTGTGAGACAGGAGGCTGCAGGAAGAGGGTTACCCAGGAACGGGGCGGTGGAAATGCAGCTGGAAAGCAAGATTAGTGTGAGATCGCGAAGAGCTTTGCACTTCAGTACAAAACACCTGGGCCTGGTCTGTGGCCAGTATTGTGACAAAGAAATCTAAGGAAATCTGGGTATGTTCAGGCTTATAGAACAGACATCGTAAGTAACACTGTGAGTGTGGACTAAAAGTCAGTGCCAAGGTTCCCTGTTTACATCGTGTCATGCTTTAATCCTGAACTAGCCTTATGCAGTTGCCTTTCATTTCATGGAGGAGGAAGTTAATAGAATTAGAGATGTTCATAAACTTAAGAGGTGGAGCAGAAATAAAACTCTGGCCATCTGCTTTCAAATAGATCTAATCATATAACAATGATGCCTACTGTAATTGCTGTCTTGAAATAAAGTCTAAAAGTCTAAAAAATAAATACATTTAAAACTGTGTCCCCAGGGGACATATGACAAGGTCAGAAGACAATTTAGGTTGTTACAACTGGAAGGTGCTATTGATATCCAGGGAGCAGACCCCAGAAATCCTGCTCAACATCCTATACTGCAGAGACAATTCCCTACGACAAAGAGTCATCTGCCCCCAAATATCACTAGAGCCAAGATCGAGATACCCTGGTCTAAACATGTTCTGTTGTTTGATCATTTTTTAAAAATTTATTGTAGTATAGCTGCTTTATGATGTTATGTTAGTATCTGCTACACAGCAAAGTCAATCAGCCATATGTATATACATTATCTCCTCTTCTTTGGATTTCCTTCCCATTTAGGTTACCACAGAGCACTGAACAAGTTCCCCGGGCTATACAGTAGGTTGTCACTAGTTATCTGTTCAGTTATGAAAAGGAATGAAATTGTGCCATTTGCAGAGACATGGATGGACCTTAGAAACTGTCATGTAGAATGAAATAAGTCAGAAAGAGAAAAATGAATATCATATATTAACACATATATTTGAATTCTAGAAAAATGATACAGATGAACCATTTGAAAAGTAGAAATATTTGATCATTTTTTGTGGAGCATGTTATAAACCTCTTATTTCTTGATTACTGCAGTAGAAGAGGCATAGGATTTGGCATCCAAATAATTAGGAAAGAGTTCAGAACTTGAACATCTGGCTTTCTCCCCTCTAGATTACAAATATATATAAGAGAGTCCCTCGGTGCTTGCTGGTATTGGTTTCCATGGATCAAATATAGAGAATAATGCCATCTATTTCACAGAACTTCTTTTTAAAAGACAGCATAAAATAGGAAAGTGAAAGTGCTGGGCAAACTATTAAAAGCTAGATGTGTGTGTGTGTGCTAAGTCGCTTCAGTCATGTTTGACTCTGTGTGACCCTGTGGATTGTAGCCCACCAGGCTCCTCTGTCCATGGGGATTCTCCAGGCAAGAACACTGGAGTGGGTTGCCATGCCCTCCTCCAGGGGATCTTCCTGACCCAGGGATGGAACCCACATCTCTTAAGTCTCCTGCATTGGCAGGAGGGTTCTTTTACCACTAGTGCCACTGGGAAGCCCCAAAAGCTAGGTATATGCTACTAATTGTTACTCTAAGACTTACAAGTGATACACACACACACACACACACACACACACACACACACATATTGAAA